TAGCTTGCATTTTGTTTTTCTATTATTTGCTTGTTTGTAAGTTCTATAAAAACTTCTACCAAAGTCAGATGTCATAATGTAGCTTTTCATGAGATGCACATTATTATTAGGAACATTTAGCTTTGATTCTAAAACAGAAGCTTATTATATCACGATATGACACCATATTATTTGAAGTTTTGAGCAATAGTTTATCACATTGACGTCTAATAAATAAGTAATACCCGGCAAGTGTAACTTCACTGCCATCAAAACACGTTTGATTTGAATAAACCAGGTAGTTATTAACAACACACACTGTTTCAAGTCTAGTCAAACTAAAGCAATATCACTCATAAATGTTGAAATTTCTAATAAAATGTACTTGATGTTGTAGCTCAACTTAGTTGGTTTACCATTTTTTTTAGTATGCTTCCTGTTACTTCTTTCGATAAAAGTTTATCTTTTGAAGCTAAATATTATGCTGCTCTCCTTTTACTCATACCTTTTTCCACAGCCTTCAAACTACAACCCATCCAAGCTTTCTCACATAAATTCATAAATGATATAAATGAATTAAACTTGAAAAAGAACTACTTCAGTGCATTACAATATATATTATTGTTTTGTAAATAGCTCATATTCAGTGATTTAAATTTACCAGTAAATTGACTGGTAAATTTTATTTTAAAACAAGTTAATATTAAAATTATAAACAAATTCTTTATTCAAATAAAATACCATGGTGAGTATCCATTATAAAAATGTTAAAATTTACAGGTAAAGTTGCCTGAAAATTTACACAATCGCAACACAAGTTCATATTCACTAAGTCCCCTTTTTTAACATTTCTGCTAATTGTCTCCTTCATTTTTTATCCATAAATGACCGAAGTTAAAGTATTTCAAAACTTTACTAATTAAAAAAAAAAAGTACATAATATTCAAAAATAATTAATTTTTTTGTAAATATAATTAATTTTCAGATTCTTAATAATATTTAGGTTAAATTTTCTCATTTATTTTAACATTTATTTTTTAAATATTACTTATTTTTGTTTGTCAAGAAACAAAAAGTAGAAAAAAATAAAAACAAATTTAGTTTTTTTTTTAAAAAACTAAAAACTTTTTGAAAAAAACTAAAATAAAATTTTTTTCAGTTTCTTTTTCAACACTGTCTTTTTTTTTTTTTTTTAAATCACTAGTAAAACTATATAAAAAATAAAAGAGTTTAAGAAATGGAAAGAAATGCTACCAGGGGCTATTGTAGACTGTATTTAACAGTGCCAACTGTATTTGGGCACTAATTTGGGCGCCATCCAAATTAATATTAGAGTTTTTTTTTAATGTTTTTAACTTAACTTGTTTCTTTATCGAATACAATCACAACTAAGTTAACAAAAAAAAGCACAAACTGAAAACAAATTCATTTTGTTAGGTTTACTAATTACTTTAAGCTCCCTTCTAGATATAAACTCTAAAGCTATCTGTATGGATCATTTCTTTGATCCATACAGAAATAACTTCAGCATTAACACACTTGGTCCCAATATGATTAACACATACTCACTCAGAAAACACAATTTTAAATCCAAGACATTTTTGTGGACACACAGTGTGATACTGTGATGGACTGACTTTGTAGCCTTTTAAAAATTCAGTTAAATCCACATTTTAAAAATTCAGTTAAATTCAAAGAGAGTTATAGAATAGGTATCTCATCATCCTACAAAAGGCAATTGTCATCCTAGATCTTGTCCTAATAGGTTTGATGGCAATTTGTTTATAGGGTAATTAAGAAGGTAAGTAGTTCTAGGAATAATAGAGCAGCTGTATTTACCCATTTTGTTTTATTTTTGTTTTTGAATATTCTATGTTAAAAGCGAACAAAAATGATATTGTGAACACTTCTAAATCTATTTTAGAAATTCTTTAACATTTTAAAGTTTATCTTTCTGTATAGCAAAATTGCTTTTTTCATAACAATTATTACAATAATGTAAAAGTAATAAAATATGGAAAATCATTGTTATATCCAAATTTTCAAAATAAACATATTGAAATTTTTGACTAGATGAATCATAACATATGGTTATTTTCTATTTCTATGGACCAAAAATTTTTTTTTGGGAAACCTTGTTTATCAGTAATGTAGGCTGTAGAATCCAGATTCAAGTTTAGCAACAAAAGCAGAAGCAAAAGTTAAATTTGTCAAGTCTACCAGAAAGAGCAGCCATTTTATAATCACAAACCTTTTTTTTTTTTTCTGCCCAAAAAAAATTACAGAAAAAACTTATATATATACAAAATAAAAAAATATATTTTTATATAATATATAAAATATATAATAATACAATATAAAGCAAGATATATACTTTGTAGCAAGGTAACATTCTATTCTTATTGTTATTATTATTATTTTTATTTTTTTTTTTACTTTTAATTCTTGACAAATAAGAAAAAAGTTTTGTATAAAAGTGAATAAAATAGATATTATTATTAAAATTATAAAACAAACTTACCTCAAAATATTTTTTATCTGATGAAGAGAGACAAAGTATAACCCAGAACCAGGAACCTGACGATATATTGACTAAAAAAAATAAACCTTTATAAGAAAACAGAACAATGAAAAAAAAAAACTAATATCAACCAAAAAGACCAAAAAGATCTTTCCAATTATTTTGTTTACATTTATATTGTTAACATATAAAAAGTTTATAAATTATTTGTGCATCATCAATACAAATAAAAGAATACAATTTAAAGCTATATATGGAGCTTAATACTTTAAGTGTCATATTTCAGTTGTTCCATATTGTTCTATGTTAATCATAAATTTATTTTCTTTTCTATTATCAATAAAAACATAATAAAAACAAAATAATTATAAAATACACATACTAAACTTTTATTAACTTACAGGTGTAAGTCCTTTCCACAAACTTAAGAAACCCTCATCTTTGATAATTCTTGCAACAGTATTTACAATACCATATTTGCTAGAAAAATTGAAACAATATATAAATCGTATTGTATAACATAAAAAAATTTTTAGATAAAGTAAAAGTAATAAAACAATTTTTTAAATTTTTACATAAATTTAAACTACTAAATAGTAGTAACTGTAAATATATTAACACTTAATAACTAAGTCTGTGCAAGATGACAACTAAATTATTACATGAAAAAAATAGACTCTATCACTACACTACTGGATGATATAGTATGATATAGTACTACACTATTAGATGATATAGTATGATATAGTACTACAAAATTAGATGATACAGTATGATATAGTACTACACTATTAGATGATATAGTATATTAAATGTCCTAGTAAAATGATACAGATTCACTTAAAATTTTAAAAGACTTCAAGACACTTTTTAAAACAAAAACCTACCTAGTTATAATTGCTGACCAAGTTTCTAATACTTTTTATAAGAAAAAACAGTTTTTCTGGAAACAGAACCAGAGAACTATTTTAACAACAAACCTACAAATGTTTTTCTATTAACTCTTTTGATTTTTTTAAAGTTCACTCAGACATACCCACTAAACCAACTGTAGGGTACCTCTCCTGTTTACTTAGTGTTTTATTAGTAGTAGTAGTATTATTTTTATTGTTATTATTGTTGTTATTATTTTTATTGAAGCCTGCTTCAGTTAATATAAACCTAATACATTCATGTAAATGAGTAAGTAACACAATGAAAAAGTTTAAGCCAAGTGAATGCTAATATCGCTGCTATAGATGCAAAAATCCCAAGCTTATAAGTAGTCACAACAAGATCAACTTCTAAGGAAGATCGTGGATCTATTGATAATTATACAAGAGCCCCTAATAGCTACTGAAGAAATTAAAATGTTGTGGATATCTAAAAATATCTTTTAAATATTGATCAACTATTATATCTTTATAGTAACCTAAGGTTATAAGCTCACTCTAAGATTCTAAGATATTTTAGTTTCCAGTTCTTAACCAAATTTCTCATGAAATTTCTTCTAAATTTAAATCTTTTCTTTAACACCTCTCCTCCTCCTTAACAACTCTAAGAATACCACTTTTATACTCAACTTTTACTTCACTCACTAAAAAAAAAATTTTGAATTGTAATTTATTGACTCTATATTCTATTAATATTATAACTTATTAAATGAGGCCTATCCAAAATCTATTATAATAAATATTTGTCAAACTGCTTTCTTTCAGACAATTTAGAGCCTTAAGATGAGTGTTTTTGGCTAGCTCATAGAATATCTATGATGCAGTTAAAAACAGTCATCTATACAGCAAGCATTTTGGTGCTGCTTTTATGTAGATATTTTAAGACCTCAAGATGCCCATCACAAGCATGGAAATATACATATAAGCATGGAAATATAACTGTATTAGGAACAGGAACAACCTATTTTAAAACATAAAAATTAATTAACATTTTTAATTTAAAAATTTCAATTTTAACTTTAATCGCAATCTCTGAAATTTTTATCTTAAAAATTGTATAAAAAAATTTAATTGAATATATATCTATGATAGTATAAAAGTTAAATAATAATAAAAACAAAAAATAAAAAAATTTAAAAACTAATTAAAAGAGAAAATACAAGAAAAGTGAATGGTTTACCTCTACAGTTTGTGAAACGGTTCTTGAATGAAAACTGTAAAGAGATCTGCATGGTTTGAAATTAGTGAATGCATTATTCAAACTCTTTTGTGTTCCAAAATGAAGGGGAATGAATGTTTGGAGTGAAAAAGGTGCTAGAGATTAGAAAGGAAGGAGATGATAATATTCAGTTTGGAGAAACTCAGTAATAATTTGCAAAACCCCATGCATAAATACTCATGCTGATAAGTTGACCAATCTAATTGGTGGAGTGGAAATTTTCATTAGAGGGGTCTCGGCATATTTTACTCTAATTGAATTCCTTGTGTAAAAAAATATTTTCATGAGATTTTTGTGCAAGAATTTTAATACTTCAAGATGTCCTTACCTGCAGGCGTTATTTAGGTTAACATACTATACACACAGGTAAGCAACTTCATACAGATATTTAAAGGCCTCAAGATTACTATCTCTAACAGCATCATCACAACTTTTATCTTATATTTATTTTGACTGTTCAACTCATGTTGATAAAAAATAAAATAAGCAATAAAAAAAAAAGCTTGCTAGACTGATTTCTTTTTTTCTTTTATTTTTGTTGTGCATTCTAAAGTTTCTCAATATCTTCATTGTGTTTTGCCATTCTGTCAAGGTTTGGTTTTTCTTTGATAGCCCATAAGCTAACAGAGAAGCAGATAATGCACTTACAAGATGCCACTATTATTGCTTTAACAGCTATTTTGATCGACCTATCTATGCTTTCAAAAACTTGCCAATATTGTTGCCCAACTTTCTATTCTGTACAAATCAGAGTAAATCAAAATGCAAATCAATGAATTCCCAAAAAGTATGAAATTCATTTCAGGAGGAATCATTAACTAATTTTTATTAGGCTTCGGATTTAACTCTGGATTGGGTAGTATTGCTTACTATGTAAGACTTAATGTCCCTAGGTTTAGATTAGTATTCTTAGAAACATTTAAGCCAGTCAAATATTTTTGCAGCTTTAATTTTGATCTAACAGTAAAACTAAGCCTCTGCATAAAGAGACAGTCAACTACCAAAAGTAGACTGCTAACTGTTAATAAGAAAGTCCAATGGCTAACTGCCAATAAAAAAGTACTAAAAGAAAGTTCTGAGGCAGAAAGCTGTAGCTGCTCATTAGCTATCTTTTCATATAGAGAGGTAACTGATAATGTTTTGCAGAGGTCACAGATCTGTGAACTGCTTTGTGTTTTGTTTAAATCTTTTGTATAAACTGATTAAGAACTGTTTCGTAGAGGTCATGGATCTGTGCTAACTGGTTTGTGGCTTGACCTTTTATAATATTAATTATTTAAATTATTGTTTTAAGTTCTTCTTCAGCTTCACAAAGATATCTTCTTACTTTTTATCTTCTTCCTTCATCAATTTAAGCATCTAAATCCTGTTCAGTACCTTTGGATTTTACTACAAAAGCCTTAATGTTTTTATAGTTTTTTTTATACTTTATCATCTGTTTTATTAAGTTTAAGCATTTCTAATTATCCAAAAAAAAAAATGACCTTTTGTATTTGAACAACTTAAAGAACACTGTTAAACTCTGCAAAAGAATTTCTAACAGCATAATTTTAAAGGAGATAAGCAGATAATACCAGTAAACTAAAATACAGCTAATATCGCGTCTTCTTTTAGACAAATATTGTTAATGTTGTCTAATTTTCTTCTTCTAGTAACATTATTGTTGTAGTCCCAGATTCTGTAACGTTATTGTGCTCATATGATGAACAAATCTAATAATCAGGTTGGTCTCAAATCTAGGCTCAGGCATAATTGACAAATTGAATGTATACATATAAGATCAATAGATCAATTTACTCCAGTCTTATGAAGTGTATGTAGGCTGTATGTGGCTTTTACTTGTCAGCCACTCAGTAAAAAAGCTTACAGTTATAATTTACAACTTAAATTACTTTAATTTTATTTAAAACATTCCCACACTGAATTTAAAAAATAAAAATTTAAACTTTAGGATATTTCCACTTCTGTGCGTAATTTTTTACTTTTCCTTATTTTAGCAATTAAAAGCTAAGACTTAAATATGCATACTATTATGATTTTCTTAAAAAACATAGCAAAAATATTTTTATCATATTTTATGCTACCTGAATATGTTAAATATATTTATATGTTAAATAAATTTTGATCATTTTTTTTTTTTTTTTTTGCGTAATAATATCACTACAGTTTGAAAATAAAAAACAATTTTCAAAATGCTGTCCTTTAACGAGAAATAACTGATTACTGCCATTTTATATCAAAAGTATATTTAACATAAGTCATAGAAGTATAATATTTCACTTGAAATATTCACAAACAATTTATTTTCTTAAAAATATCTACATGAAATTAACAAATTTGCAACTTCCATGCATGACTTCCGTGTGAGATCATTAATGAGCTGCATTTAAACGATCTGTAACTCTATGAAACATAATGCAATCCTGTAACTTTCTGAAAAGCTTTACTAATGTTTAAAACATTATTTTAAAAAATTTACATAACGCTGAAACTTAAATTTTCCGAGGAATTTAAGTTTATTTATCTAGTGACTAAAATTTGAGTTTTTTTGTTCTGTGCGTGATTCCGCTTCAAACATAATTCATTCTTTGTTAACATTACTAATATATACCATTTTTTGATTACAAAATACTTATATAGGTTAGAATTAAATGAGAGCAAATTGGAGATTACCAGTTTTATTACTATGAAAATAATAAACAAAACATGTAGGAGTTTCTGATTTAAACTTTCCAAAAAATTTAAGTATATTTAACTTAAAGGTTACAAGTTTTTAATATCAATTTTATAAATATCTAAAAAATATATATTAGATCATTTTAAAAACATTTTCTTGAGTTAGAAATATAAATTATTATAAACTTAAGTTAAAAATATATATAAGATCTTTTTTAAAATGGTTTCCTCAAATTATTAAAAAAAAATATTCATCTTGTAAATATTAAAATTTTGTTTCGCCTAAATTACTATTTTTATTATGCTAGTTTATTTAACTCAAACACTTAACGATAGATTGAACAAAAAACAAAAACATGCAATAGAGAACTATTGCATGTTTTTGTTGTTTTTTTTTGTCTACAGTGGTTATAAAAAATTTTTTATAACCACTGCAGACATAAAAAAAAAGGGGAAAACCCAATCTAATTGTGTAAAACTGAACTGAGTTCAAAAAACTCTGCAGTGAGCGAAAACATTAAAACAAGATGTTTTTTTATCGGAAAAAACTATGCAGATTTGAGAGCTTAAAATTAGGCTCTCAACCGGAAGTATAATGGCGAAACAACAAATGCTTTTGTTAAAATCTCATTCAATAATTTGTTTTGGAAAGTTTAATTAACTTCTAACTTATTTTTTGATGTTTATCTATGATATGAACATAACTTGTCTCAGGATTTGAGGATCCCTTTAAAGTTTTTTAATTAATGTATATTGATTTTAATTTTAAAAAAATGAAAATCAAATAAAACAAATAAAAAATTAAACATAAAAAAACATTACCATATCTTAATTACCTATATGATAAAAATATCGGAATCTTTCCTTCCAAATGAATTCTTGGAATTTGCATAACAGTCTTGACTCTATCAAGTGGCTGAAACATTAAACATGTAATACACCCACTTAATGAACCTGCTACTAAAGACTTTAGTGGTGCCCATTGATCTTGCTAAAATAAAAACAAAGCTATATATTATGTTAAAATATATTGAATTACCATATACAAGCCTTGTTATAAGATTTTGTTGCATAACGCAAGTAAATGTAACTTTACTTAATATCCATATTTACATCATTAAAAGTTAAATTACGTCAGTTGCGTGTTTTAAAATATAGCATTGTAATTAAATTTAATTTGAAACCAGGTTGAATATCATTTAAAATCTATATGAAACATTTATAAAATATCTTTAAATTAAACAATATTGTTATAAAAAAATGATCAGTAAAATTTAAATATGTGGATAGAAAAAAAATATTTTTTAATTTAAAAAAACTTATTTAAACTTATACTATTTGTTTCTTTAAATATTTATAACACAATACTATTGTCTTATGTTTGCTTTCTCGCAATAAAGTTTTTTTAAATGAAGGGGAAATTGTTTATAGGTGAATTTCTTAACTGTCATAAAAAAAAAATTTTTGACATTTTGGCTTTAGCAAAATCTTTGCTTACTACTGATGAACTAGTTAATCAACTAAGATATGTAGTGCTCTCTGTAATGCACATCTGTGCAGATATGCACAGATATGCAGTGCAGAGAGTTTTTTCCTAAAATGTGTGAAATAATGGTATGAGTAAAAAGCACACTTTATTTTTTTCAAAAATGACAAAAAGCTGCAAAAGATGAACTTTTACTTGTATTGTCTTAAAACAATAATATTTTTTTCCAAACCGAAAAAAACTCCCCACAGTGCAAATGAAAATTTGGTCCCAGCTGTCTAAAAATGCAAAAAACTCAAGTTTTTGCATTTATAGTAGGGGCAGGGTCACTTAACAAAATTTCAAAAATACCATGAGAGTTATTTTTGTAGCTTGATATATCTACTTTTAGATAATGTTTTGTTTTTTGGTAAATATGATAGGAAGAGTTGATCTTAACCATTTGCAATCATATGTATATTTGAGAGGTTGGGGGGGGGTGCTTTTTTTTCATTAACTTTAAATATAAAATATTTTTATAATTGTACTTTTTTAATTACAGAAAGACTGTTTTATGGTTTCTATCTAAGATTTTTATCAGTTGTTTTAAATTTTAAACATAATAAGCTACAACCATTAAGTTTACTTCTCCATCTACTTTTATTTCTAAAATTTCAATGAGGTCTTGACTTGAATTAGAAGCAAGTTCTGCACTGTAATGTAGACCAAAAAGACCAGTGATTTTTTTAAATCTGGAAATAAGTATATAATATATAGTGATATATACACATAGCTGCAATAAGCTCCAGTTCTACGTGAAATTTACAAAATCGCAACATCCATGCATGACTTCCGTGCCTGGCCATTCATGAACTGCATTTAAATGATTGCTGTAACTCTATGATGCAAATTGCAATCCTGTAACTTTCTGAAAAACTTTACTGTTTAAAAAATTATTTTTAAAAAAATATATGACGCTGAAACTTATATTTTTTGAGGAATTAAAATTTATTTATCTAGTAACTAAAATTTGAGTTTTTCTGTTCTGTACATGATTCCGCTTTAAACTTAATTTATTCTTTGTTAACATTATTAATGTATATAATTTTTCGTTAACAAAATATCTATATAGGCTAGAATTAAATGAGAGCAAAATGGAGATCGCCAGTTTTATTATTATGAAAATAATAGACAAAACATTTAACAAGTTTTGTGCGTGATTTTTTGGAAATACCCAACTATAAATAAACAAAATAGTTGAATGTAATAAAAAATTCTCTTTAACATGTTTGGAAATTTTAAAAATATTATAAAAAATTTTAAAACGGAGTATTTTAAATTTTATAGGAATAAATAATAATTCAACTATCTGTTTTACTTTATATTTACCTGATACTTTATTTAACTATCAGTTGCTTTTTTTTATCTAAAACAAAAAAAATTATTTTGCAATGGCAACTTTTGTATTAACAAATTATATTGACTTATTTACTTTCATTTTCAAATGGTTTTATTACAATTAATATTTACATTACCAGATAAAATATCTTTTAAATTCCACCTTAAAAATCTGAAATTTTTTTTTTGGCTTTTCTGGGTTTAAGAAATATTTTTCTTTTTTATTTAAAAAATCTGGTGAGTCTTTTCTTAATTAATTGAGCAATCATTGCTCAGTTATATGTTTTATTATTATGATTGTTAGACATGATATGTCAGCAATGTTAGACATATGTCACATATGTCTAACATTGCTGCAATATGATTATTAGACATATCAATGGCTTAACGTTGGGTTTAAGAAAAAATTTTCTTGTTTTTTAAAAAAATCTGGTAAGTCTATTCGTAGTTAATTAGACATCCTAATTTAAGCAATTAAAATACAGAGCTGAAAATAATTTTGTGCTTCTTTGCAGTTAGAATTATGACTTTTTTTAAAATTATTCTTAAACTTAATATCCTTAATTCGTTTATTAAATGCATTATATGCACATTTTTTAGACATAAATACTGAATGAGAAACTTAAGTTGATGACTAAATCATATATTATATAACTATATATTTACAAGATTGTATGATTTTCATATATTCTATTATTTATATGATTTTATTTTATTTCATGACTATATTTTATGTTTTTTTCTTCATATTATTTATATATTTAATAATATACAAGTATAATATATAATATATAAAAAATAAAGAAAACATTTAAAACTCTAACAACGTACATATGTACATATATATAGCGTGTACATATTTGTACAGAGTTATGTAAATATATAATATACCACAGCATCATGTAATGTTTTATTTACCGATGAATTTTCTTTAACCTTAACCAACATTCAACATAACTTCAATTTTTAATTTTTCTTGGAATAAAACGGTATTTAGGCTCAGATTAAAAGTACGGCTTGGGATGTTAATTGATCGGTTTCCATTGGACTCGGACCTAGACCCAATACGGGTTTCAGGCATCATCGGATTCATACCTGATTTATTCTTTACGTGACAGGTCTTTATACTTACTTAACATAACTGGGGCGGGTCTGAACCCAGACGCACCTCAACCACATCAAAACAAGAATTATAAAAAGTGCTTATTATTTGAGATTGGGTATTAGTGTAATAAGCAGGCCACCGAGAACTTTTATGACGCCCGGGGCAAAGCAGCAATTAGACTAAATTGAATTTGTTAAACGAAATATCAGCTTATGTTCAGAGATCTCATGGAAAAAAGCTGCATTTCCAAGTTCCACTTGATTTTGCTTTTAATCGTTTGCATAATGTAGAGGCATCAACTGCATCCTGCGCTAATATATTCCAACGGTTTGCAACACGGTTTGTAAACTAAATTCAAAATTTATTTACGTATAAATATATTTACGAAAAAATTTTTATTATTATTTATTGCCGAAAAATTTCTAATTATTATTTTATTAGCACATGTAATTATATCACTAAAAAAATATCATTTCTATATATACATATACAAATTTATATACAGTGGTCGGCTGTCACATTAACACCACACGTTTTTTCTACAATTTATTTCAAATAGATTGCTTAAACCCACATACATAAATATGATATTATTTTTTGTTACGTGTCAAGTTATTTCTATTTTTAGTAATATTTAATAAAAATTTTATCAATTGGCAATTCTTGCTGTCAGCAATCACCTGTCATAGTTGAATTGGTGTATACTGGACAATTTAAGGTTATTTTTAGTTGTTAGTTCAATTGAAGTTTTGATGTGATTTTTTATTTAATTGTTTTTTTTTAAACTTAATGATAATCATTAAGCCATTATCTTTAAATTAAATGTTTTTTTTTTATTTTTATCTAAACACACCAAAGTCTAGTCTGTGAAATTTAAATAAATTCTTTGTGAAATTTATATAAATTCTTTATTAAAATTTTCAGCTATGGAGAAAAATGTTGCACGACACCAACAAAAATTAGTCAAATCAGATGTCTTTTACAAAATACAAAATATTCTCAGGCAAAAATTGCACAAATTATAAAGGTTTCTCGCCAAACCGCAATGCGATTGACAAAAAAATTGATACAGGGAAGAGTTTGGCCCAAGGAGACCACCTACTAAATGCAAGACAATATCAAGAGTGGACCGTATAATCCGAAATATCTGCCTGAAAAACAGAAGAAAAAAACACAAAACGTGTTGACTAATTTTATCCATAAAGCTGATATTGTTGTGTCAGACCAGATCATTTGCACAAGGCTGAAAGACGAGGGTTTGATATGTCATTTTCAAGCCAAGAAACCAAAACTAACTTCACTTATGAAAAAGACTGGAGTGGTCTCGAAACTATTGTCACTGGTCTGTTGATGATTGGGAAAAAATATTTTTTTTTTTTATAAAAAGTATTTTATATAAATTATATTAAAATTCTTTATAAATATTATAACTTAAAATAAGCATTATTTTAGATTTGCTTCTCAGATGAGTCAACCTTTCAATTAATGATGGATAAAACAGCTTTTGTTCGTCGAAGAACAAACGAAAGTTTTATCCTGACTGCATTGTAGAAACAGTCAAGCAACCAGCTTCAGTAATGATCTGGTTTGTTATTTGCAGGCAAGGAGCAGGGCGTCTCTATAAAGTGGTTAGGACAATGAGGATGAACCAGTATAAAGAAGTTCTGGATAATCAGTTACTTCCGCAAATGGCAGATTGGTCTAAAAATGTCAAAAATTCAAAAAAAAACATTTGGGAAATAGTAAAGCGAGAGATTGGAAAAAAACAACAAGCAAGATCTTATGCGAAAGATTATTAGGACACATTAACCCAGAGTTGACAGAAACAATAAAAATTATATATATATATATGTGTATATATATATATATATATATATATATATATATATATGTGTGTGTGTATATATATATATATATATATATATATATATATATATATATATATATATATATATATATATATATATATATATATATATATATATATATATATATATATATATATATATATAATATATATATATATATATATATATATATATATATATATATATATAGTTTCATACTGTTACAATCATCAAGTGAAATACAAATATACTTTGTTCGTTTAAAAAGGGTGCGTATTCACCAAACTTTCATAACTCTTGCGTAGCTCAACTAAGGTTACGGAACCCGTACGTTAAGCGTTGTTATCGTAACTATTTAGTATTTACTAATGTTTCGCAGGATTTCTATTTTTACTTTTTGTACTTTAGATTCACTATTTGGGGTAGTAAAAAGGTTTTGAAAGTTATATTAAAAAAGGAAAAGTTTCTTTAAATGTTAAAAAATTTAAAGCAAAAAAATTTTTAACATCTGAAACTCTTGTTTGTATAAAATCATGTTAATTCTTAACGATATCTACTTATCTTCTATATTAACGATATCTACTTATCTTCTAACATACTTAATTTTATCCTTTTTGCTGATGATACGCAAGTATTCTTTAGCCACATAAACATTAGCCTATTATTTAACACTGTTAATCAACAACTTGAAAACCTGAACGAATGCTTTAAGTCTAACAAACTCTCTTTAAATGTAGAAAAAAGTAAATATATTCTTTTTACAAAATTATCAAAATCTGAAACCCTCCCCTTAAAACTACCTGGTTTACTAATTGATAAAACTAAACTTAAACGAGAGTACTCAATCAAATTTTTAGGCGTAATACTTAATGAACATATTAGCTGGAGTAATCATACCAAAGTAATAGAAAATAAGATATCTAAAATTATTGGTATTAAGTATAAAACAAAACATCTCCTGAACACAAATTGTTTAAAAAATATTTATTTTGCATTTATTCATAGCTACATCAGCTACTGCAACATTATCTGGGCAAGTACTTATCCTTCAAAGTTAAATATGATCTACAAAATGCAAAAACGAGCAAGTCGCTTGATATTAAATGCAAATAGATACGCTGGTGCCAGACCATTACTAAGAGAAATTGGAGTGCCTAATGTCTATGAAATAAATATTCTTAATATACTTATTTTTATGTTTAAGTTTAAAAATGGTATGCTACCAAGCATTTCCCAAATTACTTTTTTTCTTTAAACCACAAATACGAAACTAAATACTCAACAAATAATTTTATTATACCAAAAACGTTATCAAAACAAGCTGATTTCTCGATATCTTGCCGAGGACCGCGGTTTTGGAACTTGCTTTTAACAAGTAATATAAAAACTTTAAATTCATTTCAACATTTTAAACGTGCAACAAAAAACACTTATTTGATTTTAATTCAAAGCAATTACTATCCTATTATTAAAATCTTAATTATATTGTATGGTAATTTGTATAAGATTATCTTATTTTACAATAATTAACGCAATTAGCAAATGCAATATTTATTATATCTTACGCAATTTCTAGATGAAATATAAAACAGATTTATTTCATTTTGTATGTATATATTTATGAACAGACATATATTTGTGTGTACGTGTGCATATTTGTGTATGTGTGTGCGTGCGTGTATATTAAAAATAAAAGTAGAATTAGATAGAGAATTAAAAAAATAAATAATAATGAGAAGAAATAATTAATTTTTTTTATCTTTTTTTCTGTAAAAATGGTTTTTAAATCAGTTCTTGCTTTAGTTTCTTTTTTCCTTTTTCATTTTTGTCGGCTGAATTTTTTAGTTATATTAACGGGGCTGGATGATAAAACGATGTCTTCTGCCAGCTCCGGTCGAAACTTTAATGTTACATTTTTTATGTTGTAAAAAACATTGTAAAAGATTATTTTTTAACGACGAAAAAAAAAAAAAAAAAAATTCCAAATAAAAGTAGTTGAATAATTTGTAAATCGCCTTAACTACACCGCCTTACTTTCAAAATTATTCAATCGAATTGCGCATATCTCTGCCTATTCTACGCCTGTATAGGGTTTCAAAGTATGCCGTCAGGGATAGTACAAAACCGCATATCGGCACAACAAATATTTTACTGGAGGAGGTTAAAACTTTATATATTTTTTTATTTAAACAGATTTTGGGGTTATTTTATTATAAAGAATATTATTCATATTTTTTGTAATGTCAACCATAGATATTTGGTGTTAAAATTATTAATATCCAATTAGTAGCCAATGCTAGTTACGCGGTTTTGCACTATCCCCGGTATGTTTTTTTTGTTGTAGGCACAAAAGTAATACTATTATTACCTTTTTTTTAGAATAAATATTTTTTATAGTATTATTATAATTATTTATTAAAAACAAAGACAACTAAATCTTCTAAATAAGACAACTATTGCAAACAATTTTGCTATGAGTCTTGAAAACAGAATGATTGCATGCTGCACGTAGCAAGCGAATTTTCTTGCAACGAACACGAGGGTACATATAACATCTTTTAATTTTCTGAAAATGGTTGAGCTTAGTTATGTAGGTTGTTTTGTTGAACTATTTGCCAAAAATTACTCTTTGCAATTGTTTGGGAAAAGGTTGTTATTTGCATCTATTTTTATAAGTAGTATTTTTATAATTCATTTAAAAAATCTATTTGAAAACCATTTTTATAATTTTGCTGAATAGAAAAAAATATAAGCATTATATGATGCAATATCCAAAATATTAAAAAACATTATAAATGGCCATCGGTTACTTTTTCTACGACACGATTCTAACCTGAGAACCTGGTCTAGCGTGTCAACTCCACATTTGTATTTGTTTTAATCCAGAATAATAGATTTTTCATTTTGGTCAATAACAATTCCATTATTGCGATGAAAGATTAATAACATTATGGCTACTTTATTTTTTTAAGGTACGTAACGTAGTACGCACGTAAGCAACTATATTTGAGTCATTTTGAAAACTTAAAATACTAGAATAAACTTAAAATACTAGAGCAAACTTCATGTAAACTTGCCAATAAGCTGTTAGCAGTTTCTCTATTATTTTGTTTAATAGCACCAATGTAAGACTTACCTAAATGTAACTAATTGCTTAATAACAGCAAGGTAGGGACTCAGTTTATAGTTGCTTTTACATTTAGTACAAAAAATTTCCATTAAATATTTCTTAGAGATGCAAGCCTGTCATATAAACGCTCTTGATATCTAGTTTTCCTCCCATCAAATTGAATGTATTGTTGCATGTGCTCCAAAGTTCTTTTATTCTTTGTTTTTAGAATGAACACTCCAGCTAGTAGAGGTCAATCAAACTGATAAAGCTCATTAACTGTTGTATCAAACCATCTTTCAGGTCTTATTCTGCAATCCTCAGCATTAGTGCAGTTGACAATAATTTTAATCAATTCGGGTTTTATAAAAAGTTTAAAGACGGAACCCCAACTTTGGCCGCAAATATGAGATGCAAGCCTGGTTGGATCAGATAGTTTTTGAACAATACTGTGTGCACTTGGCTGAGTAGTATCTACTACTGGAAATTCACTTCAAATTTCAACATTATTTTTTAAAATCTTGACTTGATTTAAAGTTTGACTTTCATAAGCAAATTTTTCATCATTTTTATCGGAGATGATTACATCAGCTTTACCATCAGTTATAATATTAACTTCTTTGTTACCAGTAAGATTTTCATTATCTGAGTCACCACTTGAAAATAATTCTTTTAAAACAATGTGTTTTAAAAGAATTATTTTCTTATTTATTTATTCATTTAAAAACTTTAAAAAAAATTTTCTTCAAAAAAAATTGTTTTATTGATTTTTTCATTCATTTTATTTATGCATTTAGAAATTCTGTATTAGCATAGTCATAAGTCATAATATTCATAGTCATAATATTCTTATGACAGTAAAGCGCACTGGTTTGTGGCATCGGGTATATTCGGCCACCGTTGACTTTGCAGACCGACTAAAGAAAATGCTGGTAACATTTAATTTACTGTTGTTTTTTTTTCGCATCGATTTTCGTTAAAAAAAGTTTCGAAAGAGTAAAGAGAAAGTTTTATAATGAATAACAAATAAAGTACTAAAGTCGTTTAGAAGACTCGAACATAAAAGGGACTTTCTAAAGTACATAGTTGGATATTACCGTCTTTTAAATATATATACAATATACAAAAATGGAAAATCACGATGTAAAAGAAGATAAATACAACCACCATGATAATTATAAAAATATCCAAATAAAAATTAACAATTTGAATAAAGACGAAAATGATAACCAGTTTTTAAAAAAGAAAAAATATAAGCTCAAATTTGCTTGTGCTAAATTTTTTAAAACCAAGTTACTTGATAGTTACGAACATCAGGAAATCGTAGACTCAGATGTAAGTGACAAAACTGAGTTACAGTTAATTCATGAAGGTATTTTTCAAAAAAGAAACTATTTTGATGACTCAATGTGTCGCAAAATTGAGAAAAAAATTGATGGTATAGTAGAAAAAGCTAAACGGGGATTATATTTACCAAACACATTTGACAGTGCACCTTTACGAAATAAGTACTTTTTTGGTGAAGGATATACATATGGGAAACATATGGAAAATAAAGGTCCTGGTCAAGAAAGGCTGTTCAAAAAAGGAGAGGTTGATAAAATACCTAATTGGATTCAAAAGCATGTGATAAAAAAACTTTATGATGATAAAGTGGTTCCAGAAGGTTTTATTAACAGTGTTGTTATAAATGAATACTTCCCTGGTGGCTGCATTGTTTCTCACATTGATCCTATTCATATATTTGACAGACCTATCATATCAATAAATTTTAATACTCGTTCATTTTTATCTTTTGGATGCAAATTTACATTTAATCCTATTCGAACAAGTGAACCAGTGTTATCTCTTCCGATGGATAGAGGTTGCTTAACAATGATAAGGTAATAATAATAATAATAAAAATATAGCTGTTGTCACAAAAACAGTTATAAGGGAAAGACTTACTCTGATAGTTTAGGTTGAGGCAGGAACTTAGGGTAATAGAGATCTTTTAAAAAAAGGTTTTTTGTTAAATAATAATAATAATAATAATAAAAATAATATATATATATATATATATATATATATATATATATATATATATATATATATATATATATATATATATATATATATGTATATATATATATGTATATATATCAGTCTTCTCCGATTAGCCAGCGCTTTTGCACTCAAGTCTTTTTGTGCTTGCCTACATGCCTGCAAAAACTGTGGCAAGCACATACTAAAGCACTTGCCAAAAATTTAAAAGCATTATGTTTTAAATTGCAACAAAACTTTTTTGTTCATTTGCGCAACTGTTATGAAAAATGGCATTTTTTACCAGTTTTCTTTTTTAAATTATTTTATCTAGTATTTTTATTAAAATAATCAGAAAAAAAATATAATTCAGAAAAAAATAGCAAGTTGCGGGGCTTCAGTACATACATCAACTGACAAATGGCCTGACTCTCAGCCGAGTGCTGCTACATCGAATGAGAGTTTAGGATGGGACAGCAATCTTTTCTTATTCTTCGTTTTTTTCTTTTTCTGAAAAATTAAGGCGCACATTTTTCCTTAAAAGCACAAAAATGATATTTTAGAAATAATTTGACTTAACATAGGAATTGAGCATAGTGTGTGTGTGTGTGTATGTATATATATATATATATATATATATATATATATATATATATATATATATATACAGGCCTTGTGATGAATAAAAACTGCGCGACGCATAAGCACGACGTGATTTTTGACGTCATTAAATTCTTTTTATTTGCTTTTCATATTTATCGACATTAACTGCACCAATTTACTTAATTACCGCAAAACTACTTTAAATCATTAATGTAGAAATGTTATTATTTAAAAATGTTTTAGAATGTTTCGTTTTTTGAAATGTAAAAACATTTGTTTATTTTCTCGACGTTTGACATGTTTTGTCTATACTAAACGAATAAAAACATAAGTTTTTCAAATAATTATTTTTCTTTTTAAAAAGTCAGAGAGTAATAAACTGGAAATTTTAATATAGTATGATTAAAAACTGTGCAATAGCTAATATTTTTACTAGCGATTTTATATAATATTTATTTATTTATTTTTATTTATTTTCATAAAGCGGTTGATAAGCACAATCAATTGTATTATTAAAAAACTTTAACGAACGTTTTGAATAGATTTTTAATGTTTACAAGGAATTTTTTTTTTGGTAAAATAAAATGTTAGAATAAAAATTTTTTAGGTATAAAAGAAATATTTCAGCAAAAAAATTATTCTTAAAAATTATCAAAAATTATTCGAAAAACTATTGACGTTCTATTCTAAGTAACCCTCAGAATTAGGGTTGGCGTTTGGCAATGTCGACCTAACTGCTAACCTCGTCTGACCATAAACATATCGGCAAAAAATTGCCGACCTCGTTTTTATGTTTATGGTCAGACGTCAGACCTATGTATCAAATAATTTTTGCCAACCTGATGCCAACCTTAAAAAGTTTGAGGTCGGCAATCATTTGCCAACCTCATTTTTCCTAATTCCGAGGGTTGTATAAGGGTAGATCGATTTTGGTATGTAATTACTGCTAAACAATAGAAAGTTGGATATTTATATGTAAGTAACAAAAATAGCAAACTTAAGTGTTTTAACTGAATATTTTTTTGCAGAACTTTGATGAAGTTTATGGATTTGCATACTTCTTAAACTACTTTTCGTTGTTTCATAAAATTTATTTTTCTTCATTTTTTAAAGCATGCACGTATTGTATTTTGTTTGTAAACAATATTTAACTTAGTAGTTTCGTAGTCTTCATTAAAGTCTCGGCTGTATTTAACTTTACACCAAAGACTGTATTTAAAACAAAGACTGTATTTAACTTTACACCAAAACCTTTATTTAACTTTACACCAAAAAATTAAAATTTATAAGCGGCTAATAAATATATCTTAAAATACACTTTTTGATTCGCCCGATTCTATACAACTAGGTTTTCATGCTTAACTGGTTTATATTTTAAAAATGTTACTTTTGTAGAATGGTATAGTTAAAACAGATTAAAGTGAACTATAAGCACGTTTTACTAATTGTAAAAATATTATTATCATTAATTATTATTAATTATTATTATCAATTTATTATTATTTTGTGCAAAATTTAAATAGTTTAATACTTTAAAAAAGTTTTACTTTTATTTTTATTTTATTGTATTTTATTGCAAATAATTTATGTGTCTTGTAATAATAATATGAACAAAATATTTAGTTTTAGAAAGTAAAAAAGGCACTATACGCGGTTAAAAAGAAAATTACGGAGGTTCCCCTCATGATTTAATAACAACGGATTCAAGCACATACAGATTCAATTGATTCAATTTTATTACTTCTCAGATTGTTCTGACATTAAGCCAAACTTTTGGGCATTTGTTAAGTGTGTTTCATGTGTTTTAAAATCTGTATGGTTATCTTTCAATCCACGATTGCCTTTAATAAACAATAAATCTATTGAAACAAAAATTAAAAATCTATTTACAACTGTAAATAGATTTATTAAGTAAATATCAAACAAAACTTGGATTCTAAACTAGATAAACTTTTTGACATATCGACTTTTTACTGTTCATTGGATATTGTGTCATGTAACAAAGTTTATGTAAAGTGCAAAACAGAAAAATGCAAAACGGAACGCATTATTTGCATTTGCCCTAAAGAAGCATGATTCCCAATAGAAGAATGAGCTTATATACGGGACCAGCATTTAAAAACAGGACCAAAAGGGCTATTTCAGATGTCTTCAGTAGATACATCTGCTTTAAAACAAAACAACAGGATTAAATGGAAGGAAGGAAATATATCACATCACAAACATATAAATAATGAGCTTTCAAGTTTATTACTAGATCCCCCAGAATGTATATCTGAAATAATAACATCTCAGGTATTTTTATTTGTGTGGCCTTAAAATTTTAACTTTTTTAATATACAATTAATGCTTATTAATAATAAAATCACTTATAAGTATTTACCTAACAAACAGGATGAATGGAACTAAGTAAAAGAACTGTTGATTATAGTATTCAAAACTATAGGCAGATTATAGTATTCAAAAGTTTCTCTGCACACCTCTTGGAAATGCCTTACATGATATCGAGGATCTATTGCTACCGGAAGTTGACATCAATAATATTCTAAGAATATGAGAACTTACTTAAAAGCAAATAGTTCTGAAGGATAAAATTTCATAACAAAATGTGTTGCTGCAGAGCATCACCTTACTTTTATACATGAGGATGGCAAGTCTCATGGGATCTACTTGACACAGAACAATACCCGTTGTTGGTGCTACTGGGGATGCTCTTGCTTTTGAGACATTTTGTGTACTTGAAGAAAATGTCTGCAGAGCATCCGTTTTATTCTTTTAGACAATACTGCTTCAAACACAGGTTGGAGGAGTGGCTTGGTGGTTAATCTAGAATAGTTGATAGGAAGAAAACTTCACACAATAGGTTGTAGTCTTCATCAGAATGAACTCCCACTAAAAGCTCATTTTAAAAAGTTAGATGGAAAAACAATCGGTCTACAAAACTTTAGTGAACCAATTAGGAATAGATGCTCTGAAGAAATTCATAGACAAACTCAAGTAGAGTTTGAAGCAATTTAAACTTCTATCACTGAAGGATATATTTCAGATAGATATTAAAAGATATTAGTCATGATCAAAGGCTTCTTTACAAATATTGTAAAGGTATTGGATTATGTGAAGTAGATGACAAATGGGCTTATTGTAAAATAGGTCCACAGAATCATGCTCTATGGTTAACTCTTTCTATACGAAGTCTTTGTTTATACACTCGCGATGTTTCCGAACGCAAGTCTGAAAAAGCTTACCTGTTATATTGTTAAAGTTTATGCTCCAACATGGTTTCAAATAAATAAATCTTCCAAATTGCAAGATTCCTCTAAGATTCTGCTTTTCACTCTTACTCAATTGAATCTTATTAAGTTTGATGATAGAAAAAGAACTGTAAAAAAAAAAATTCAAGGTAATGCTTTCTGTTCAATACCTGCAAATTTTTTCTACCCAATTGTTAAAAATGATGAGCAGATAAGGACTCTCGGATTTGAGACCATACTCACTCTCAGAAAGCAGTAAACTTTTTAAAATTTGTTTTTCTGTTTATAATTTATCAGGCATCTGTATACAAAGCTTTTTTAAAAATGTATTGTGCTGTATTTTATAATATTAAGTTTTAATTAAGGTTATTAA